GCTTGTGTCCTTGTCCAAAGGATAAGTCAACACTCTATCTAAATATCTCACTAAATAGATTTTATTCTTCGGCAAGGATTTTCCCCAAAATATAATTAAAATATGAATATTTGGGGTTTATTATGTTAAAATACGAGTTTGGGTGAAAATCCCGCGTTAAAATCTTAAAAAACGGGCTTAAAACGAAGTTTGGGTCAAAAACCGGCAATCTGGACCGAACCTGTGAGGTTCGGCTCTAAGGGAGTGAGAACCGAGAGTGGAGAAGGAAGGAACCGAGAGTAGAAGAGAGGACCGAAGGTGCGAGGGTTCGGTCGTGGCTCGCATCTCGGAACCGAAGGTCAAGTCCTCGGACCGAAGGTAGGAAGGGAAGAGCCGAAAGTCAGGTCTCGGTTCTGATTAGTCAGGGGACCGAAATAGACAGAGCCCTCGGTCCATTTCGGCTGAGAGGGTTTCGGTTCTCAGGAGGTTCGGCTCCTAAGAGGGGTTTCGGCTCCTTAAGGCTGTTTTTTTCGCATAGACTTCCGTTTTTGAGCGGTTTTCGACTAAATTAAGGGCCGAGATGCCCCGAGTGATTATAAGAAGTTGAGAGAGATTTTGAGAGAGATTTGGGAGAGATTTGACATACTTGGAGAGATTTGACATACAGAGAGAGATTTGGGAGAAATTTCACATTCTTGGAGAGATTTCTCATTCAGAGAGAGATTTGGGAGAAATTTCACATTCTTTGAGAGATTTCTCATTCAGAGAGAGATTTAGGAGAGATTCCACATACTTGGAGAGATTTCTTAGTCAGAGAGAGATTTGGGAGAGATTTTACATACTTGGAGGGATTTCTCATTCAGAGAGAGATTTGGGAGAGATTTCACATTCTTGGAGAGATTTCTCATTCAGAGAGAGATTTGGGAGAGATTTTAGACACTTGGAGGGATTTCTCATTCAGAGAGAGATTTGGGAGAGTTAGAGTGAAAGAGATTGGGAGAGAATTCTTTTGTGACCTTTTTGAGTGTTTGGCTTCGCAACGCAAGGTTCTTACACTCTGTTAAGCCTTGTTATGAATGTTATACGCTCTCGAGGGGTATGGAATAATGTTTTATCGAGTAGATTCATCACTTACCCTGATTAGGGTTTAGAATTTCTGAACACGTGAAAACTCTAAGTGATACTTTATATTAAGATTGCGAGTAGTACAATGAGAATCATAATGGAAACCGTAATATACAAGGGTTAGATGAGTTGACCGGTTTGACTTGTTGACTTTAGTTGACTTTGACTTGGCCAAAAATTGACGGTTGTCACATACATGAATCCCTTCCTCGCTGACTACATGACCCAAAAATTTTACACTGCGGATCCAAAACTCGCATTTGGAGAGCTTCGCATATAATCTTTCAGCTCTTAGGGTTTCCAAGATTTGACGGAGATGTTGACCATGCTCTTCTTTGTTTCGAGAGTATATAAGAATGTCATCGATGAAGACGATCATGAAATTATCAAGGAATGGGCGGCAGACTCGATTCACGAGGTCCATAAATGCAACAGGGGCATTTGTTAGACCGAAGGGCATCACAACAAATTCGTAATGACCGTATCGAGTTCGAAAGACAGTTTTTGGAATGTCCTCTTCTCGGACTCGAAGTTAATGATAACCGGATCTTAGGTTTATTTTGGAGAAGTAACTAGCTCCTTGAAGCTGGTCAAATAGATCGTCAATCCGAGGTAGTGGGTATCAGTTTTTGACAGTGAGCTTGTTTAATTCCCTATAATCGATGCACATTCTAAAGGATCCGTCTTTTTTCTTGACAAACAAGATCGGAGCTCCCCAGGGTGAGAAGCTTGGTCGGATGAATCCTTTGCTCAACAACTCGCTTAGTTGGCTGGATAACTCCTGCATTTCGGCGGGAGCTAACCTGTAGGGTGATTTGGCAATTGATGTGGCTTCTGGTATTAGGTCGATTCGAAATTCGACCTGTCTTTCTGGGGGTATTCCCGGAAGGTCTTCTGGAAATACAGCCGGGAAGTCACATGCCACTGGGATGTCTTTAATGTTTACTTCTTCCTTGGCTTTATCCACAACATGAGCGAGGAATGCGTAGTTTTTCTTGTGCAGACACTTTTGTGCCTTGATGCACGAGATAAGACGAATATTGACACCAGGTTTATCACCATAGATTATTAGGGTTTCGTGATTGGGGAGATGAAGGCGAACGACCTTCTCGCGACACATAATATCAACATGATGGGGGCTTAACCAATCCATACCGATTATAAAAGCATCACTGGAAATTAATCAATTTCCAGTTAAAAAAACAAACTTTCGGATATTACCGATTTTGAATATTTTTTGCATATATATTGTGTACAGGAAATGAAGGCTATTTTGGTAAATTCAGTTGAGTAAAGGAAGCGGGAAAATATGATTATGGGGGCTTGAAGATTGACACGTGACGAGTTTGTACTTATTTATTAGAATAGATGATGATAATTCAATACCTTATAAAATTGTTGACCGTTAAAGAACACCATATTAAGTCAAGTTATATTTCATTCAATAAAAATGTTGTATCTTAGAGTTGAATATTGATTCAATAATTTTTTGTTGCTTACTTGATTTTATATTGTATGAAAGACAATTTGTTTATAAAGTTTGTACATTGTGGAAGTGTATGCTAATAAGCTTTTGAGATCTTTTAGTAGATTTCAAGAAAAACTCAAATTAAAGAAAAATCTTTGTTTAGCGGTACAAAATATTACTCTTTATTTTAAACTAAAAATCATACTTCAAAAGCTACTTCAAATATCTTATGAGTTGTAAGAACTTTTAGTTTTTAGTTTTTTTTTTTTGTAATTGTTTCAGCTAGTTTCTGAATTCTTTTATATAAATAAAATTGCATTTTACAACAAGTTTTGTAAATACTCTCGATTGAACTTTGATCATACTCGACACTAATTTCAAAACTTAGTTATATTTGTTGGACAAAGCCATTGTCTTGATTTCAAATTAGTTTGTTGTCTTAAGGCTAAATGACAATACTTTTAATTTTTTTATTAGTAGTGTTAATTATTTTTAATATATTTTTTATTTTCATTTTTTAAATAGTTATATTGCATACTATAATTCAATAGCTGAATATCTAAATTATTTTTAGACATGTCACACTATTTACAATTAGAGAAATTAAATATCTTCTTATATTTTATTGTTGTTTATCCTTCTATCATATCAAATGTTGACATGTGTCACATTTAATGAAATTGATAATATTTTAATCCATATATCACAATTTAATGTGGGTAGTAGGACAAAAGTTTTTAACCGAATAATGGTTATTAGAAAAAGTATTTATCAATATGGGGTAGTTTGAAAAATATTTACCAAATAATGGTAAAAGAGTTTTAAGCGTTATTTTTTAACATTAAATAGGTAAATAGATAAAAGTGATCGGGTTACAATTTTTTTCACTAGTCACCTCGCCGGAAATAGATAAAAGTGATCGGGTTTTCTTGCCGGAAATTACATAACAGAGGAAACAAAGCTTAAAATGATTACATCATGTATGTACAACACTTCCCGTCCTTGCCTGAATCGATGTGAAGAAATTAACTCAAATAAATGCTACCTAATCGTTGTGTAGTAGCCATGTAATCTTAATGATTTCAGCACTAATCCGATATGTTTTCTCAATCATTGAAGCACGTGATGTGAACTTTGGGTCAGTACAATTCCCACCAATATGCTACAACACCAGGAAAACAATAGTTGTAGTATTCATATGTACAACATGTAGTTAGGTATTCCTTTCCTTCTAAGTGTTGTACTCCTCAGTCGTCACAATCGTTTCAGGCTTGATCGGAGATGGAGGACGATGGTGTGTGAGCTCTATTGCAATACTACATTTTCTTAAATGTTATGTTCCATCCTCAAGACACCCTTCTCCTCGATACCCTTTCTTTACTTCAAGAGTTCTGCACTCTGATAATCTTTTCCATCGATCTACCCGATACCAACTGCAAGAACCCGATAAGAAGTTACTAAAGTGTAGAACTAAAAATCGGAGAAACTGACTTGATTGGTAACAGAGAGTCGGAGACGGGTTGGTTTTTGACGGCCTTTGTCAGGGCCGATTCGTCTTTGACTTGAACGTTTTAATAACCGTCAATGGAGGCAACCTTAATTTGTAATTTCTACATCAAGCATTAACAAATTCCTTTAATTTAACACGTTGTTTTTTCTAGCTAAGAATAATCGATAGGATAGAAGATAGAAAGAGTGGGAGATGGAGAGATCTGGATAACTCTATTCTATCTTTTTTCCAATATGCCTTGTTACCACCATCAACGCTTCACCGGTGTGCATCCTCGCAGCAATCAACAAACTTGCACAATCGATCATAATGGAAGGGTTAACAACGGGGTGAAGGAGAAAGTCAAATCTACAAGGGACGTTGATGTTTATTATTATTTATTTAATTAATATCAAATAGGAGTGCAAGTGAATTTTACTATACTTTCCTAAATACTTTTTAAACAACGAGTAATTGGTAAATATTTTTCACAATCACTATGGTATGGTAGAAAATATAGGAGAATATTTAATTTCTCCTGCAATTATCCTCAAGTTTGAGCCATGTTTTTATATAATTATAAAAAACATTACTTAATTGATATTATTTTAATCCAGATGTCACCGTTGGATTGAAAGACAGTAGAAAGAAAATTGAAAGACAGTAGAAAGAAAATATAAAAAGATATTTGATGCTTATCGTAAATGAGTGACGACATCACGAAATGGTCGTTAAAAAAAATACAGCAAATAAAAAAAAAACTGGCGATGATTTGTCTGTATTTTAGTTTTATTCTATATTTTATAAGATCTAAATCACACACTTTTATAATTCTGCGAAAAAAAAACACTTTGAAATAAAATATATATATATATATATATATATATATATATATATATATATATATATATTATATCCCAACAATATAAAATAGTTTCTACTTGGGAGAGAACTGTATAGCGAGATGCGTAAACACTGACATGTCAGAGTGACCTTTCCATCATCCCCATATGCCTCCCTCCACAAAAGGCGCCATGGAGCTTTACCCAGCTCTCAAAACCCCTTTCTTCCCCTTCTATCCTTCCCTACGCACTCCCATTCTTTCCATGTGCGTTCGTTGGCAAGAAACCTAAAGAGAATATAGTCGAAATCATTATCCACTCTAATTTTCAACTTTTCTTTCGTAAAGGAACTCTTCCAACTCTGTAATTCTATCTTCCGATCTACGTTTCGCATATTATCCTCCGGTGTTTCTTGAACATGCTTCAACCACCATAAACCCTCGACCTTTTTTTCCCCATTTTGCTCTTACCCAGATCAATAACCGCTGTTTTAAATGGGAAATTGTTCAAAAACCCTCAAGAAAACAAACCCAGATCATAACCCTGACAAATTTTACCCAAAAATAGACAACTCTGATAAAGCATACCAGAAAACAGATAACTCCGATAAAGTTTATCGGAAAACAGATCAATCCGGTGCCACTAACCTTCTTCCGTTACCGTCAACATTGCCCTCTCCATCGACGTCGTCGTTGCCGGTTGTTAGACTGTACGGGTCACCGACTTCTCCAGCCACTTCCTACATTCGTTTCGCGCTCCTTTACAAACCTGTGACTCTACTTTTCATCCCATCCGAAAAACCCGACTTCGGATTTGAAACGCCGGTGATTCAGTTAGGATCCGACGTCATATCGGGGTCTTCTGTTACCATTCTCCGTTATCTGGACGCCAAGTTTCCTAAGCCGTTGCTTCTGAGCAACTGGAACACGTACAATGAGACGACGCCGGTGGTGGTGACGGCGACGGCGCTTCAGCATAAAAGTTTGGTGTGGCATTTGGATAGAATGGTGAGGTGGGGGGAGGACTTGGCGGCTCGTGGCGGTCGGTCGAAGGGGGATCCAGTGATGGGGAGTGCACGAATGGAGGTGAAAAAATATGCAAAGAGTTATTCGCAGCTGTTGGAGGTGATGCTTGAACATGCTCAGATGGAGGAGAAGATCGTCTTTCCAATTTTGGAAAGGGAAGATCGAGGTAAGATTTAATTTCAGTTCTTTGTAGTAGTAACAGATCTGATTGATTTTGACTTTCTCAAGTCAATAAATTTCTTATTTCTTTCAGCTAACAAAATTGTTGCGAATCTCTATTATTTCATGAAAATGTGACAATTGTTTTATATATCCATTACAAAACATAACATTCTTAGGTTTATTAATATTGAAATTGCACAAGAAATCCATATGAATTTGTAAATTGGAAAGCAACAGTTTTGCCTTCCAAAGCTGCACAAGAAATCCATTTTACACTCAAAAGCTGAAAGTGGACCCTTTTAATCATAATACATAATCGTCTAAGATACGTTCTGTTGATTGTTAAATCTTAAACTCATTATCAAACTTGCTATAATTGTTGCTTTAAGTTGAAACATGAATGCACTTGCTTTTTAGCAATTTTAGTGATGAGGTTTCATGATGAAGCATAAAAAATAATGCAAAAGCTAGAATCCACTCATGATTGCAAATTGAGTACATTGTAGTATAACTATTAGTTAAATATCTAAAATACCCTTCGATCAGGCTTATCTAAATCTGTAAATGAGGAACACGCGAGAGACCTACCCCTCATGAATGGCATCAAAGAAGACATCAAAACCATTATAGTTCTTGATTCAGGGAGCTCATCATGTCAAGACGCCCTCTTTAGCCTAACCACTCGCCTTAAATCATTACAGGTTTGTTCTTTCTTCAATTTCAAAGCTGTTGTCATTAAAAAGTTAACATTTTTTTTTGTGGGTAAAACAGGAGAATTGCAAAAAGCACTTTGAAGAGGAAGAACGTGGGATTCTACCATTAATGGAGGCAACTGAGTTGACTCAAGGGCAGCAGGAGAGAGTATTGGAGCAATCATTAGATGTGATGCCTGGCACACACTCTAACCTACTTAGGTTTTTCATGGAAGGTCTTCTCCCTCATGAGGCTATGCTTTATCTTGATTTGATCACCAGATGTACGGATAAAGATCGGGCCGGGTCGATTTACCGGTTTCTAGTCGAGTAAGTCCATTTCTTGTGAATTCATCCATTTTGGGTTTCTTTTTTTCAAGTTTTGAAGAAAATTGCAAAATGTAAAATTTGGGTTTTGTTTTGATTCAGAGAACACAGTGGAAAACGCAATGAGGGTCGACCAACCATGGGATTGTTGTTAAAGGCCAAGTCATAGGATTGATGATTGGAAAATTTTTTAAAAAAAAAGAAAAAGAAAAAGAAAAAGAATTTGGGTGGTTAGGAAGTAGTGTTGTGGTGGTTGATTTGCTTGGTTATATTGTAATTGTATGTATGCTTTTGTTTCCAAATTCCATATTAACACCAAGAACCAAGAGGGAAAAAAAATCCTTTCATATGTGGCTTTGTAGCTACACATAAAAAAATTTGTATATTCATTTGGATTTGGTACATCCTAGTAGTTTTTTCGTGCATTGTTTATTAGTATTGTGGATAGATGAGTTATAGAGATTAACAAATTTGGTAAAACTAAAACTTAACAGGTTGGTTTAGTGGATTTTGTTCCAACCTTTTATAAAAAAATTCAGGCACATTTTTGTTAGTTGGTATGTCTAAAGTCTGTGTAATTTATATAAACGATGTGTCTAATTTGTGTCCTTTTACACAACCACTTTTACTTTTGGCAAAATAACTATATTAATGTGTTAAAGTGGTTGATATGAAGAGATATATTGAGGTCATGCATAATGGATTGTATTGTTTTCGGTTTTTCTACAATTGTGAATCTAAGATATGAAGAGATTTTGTGAGATCATCATGCTATGATATCTAAGTTCTTCATGCTGTTTGTAGGACCAATTCAGGATGGGCATGGAGCCAATCAAGCAACTCTCTTTGCATCTGGCTTTTTGTCTTTTTTTTGACTTGTCTCTTGCTTTTATGATTTTTTTCATCACAAACTAAAAAATTAACCTTTTTACCCATCACATTTTGAATGTTTTAATATATAATCATGCATAAAATGATGGATCAAAAGTTGAAAGAGTCCAAAATTTGCTTTTTTAACATTCCAAGTTGATTAAACTAAAGAAAAAGTGTTCAATGATAGATAGTATAACCGAAATGACTGAAAGTACATCTATTGAGTTGATACATACCAACAATAAAAAATGACAATAATTGAAAAGTAGTAATGAAATTAAGTAATAGATATCAATTTCAACACTAAATAAAACTACTAATAAATTCAGCACAAAACAGAAAATGAAATATTGGTAATTTAACACTGGAGAACTCTACATCGTTTAGCAACCGGAAAGTCTAACAAAATACTAGATCTAAACCATCACCACCTGATATGACACCTCAACCGAAGTGGAACAAAAAAAAGTTCGATCTAATCTTAGTATACCATAAAGAGCCACCTTTGTTGAACACTCATTCTCTCACCAACAAGACTTTGACCTAGTATTGTGAGATGACTTCTTTCCGATGGGCTGAGAGTTTTTGACACATATTTGGAATTTAAGAGTAATTTATGAGAGTTCTTGATATCAGCATGCCCTATCTACTCTTTAAATAATTCTCCAAATGAGTGGATACTTTTTCCCATAAAACCAGTTAATAAAAGTTTTAAAGACCCATAATCCAAAATTATTCACTAAAATAACTATTTTTTAAAGCTGATGACCATTTTTTAAAAATATAACCAAATGACCATCAAATCGCGAAAAAAGAACCGCAATTCAAGATTTTATTTTTCTGACACAAAAAACACTTTTTATGAAAAAATTTGGAGAATAAGTTAGGTTACGTTTAGTTACGGAAAAACAGTTTTTATTTTCCGTTTTTCATTTTTCCTTTTCAGTTTTCGTTTTCCGTTTTCGGTTTTCATTGGAAAATTTAGAAAACGCGTTTAGTTAAAATTTATTCATTTTTCATTTTCAGTTTTAGAAAATTAGAAAACGTGTTTAGATGTGTATTTTTCTATCGATTTTCATTTTTAGAAAACGGTAGCGGTGGTAGGGTGGGCGTGGGGACGGTGGTGGTGGTGGTGGGGGCAGCAGCGGGGGGCAGTGGTGGCAGCGAGGTGGCGGCGGTGGTGGTGGTGGTGGCGGTGGCAGCTGGGTGGCGGCGGTGGTGGTGATGACAAGCGGTGGTGGTGGTGGCGGCAATTGTGGCAGTGGTGGTGATGGCGGCGGTGGTGGTGATGGTGATGGGGTAGCGGTGGTAGTGATGATGATGGTAGGTCGGTGATTGTGGTAGTGGTGTTGGGTGTGTGTGTGTGTTTTTGGGGGTGTGGGTGAGGGTGGGTGTGTGTTTGTAGGGGTGAGTGTGGGTGTGGGTGTGTATGTGTTTGTGGGGGTTGGTGTGTGTGTGTGTTTGTGGGGGTGGGGATGTGTGTGTGTGTTTGTGGGGTGGGTGTGTGTGTGTTTGTGGGTGTGTGTGGGGGTGTGTGTGTGTGTTTGTGGGGGTGGGCTTGGGAGTGAGTGTAGGTAAGTAGGGGTGTGGTGGGTTGGGGGTGTTAAGGTGAGGGTAGGTAGAGGTGGATGGGGTGGGAGTAGGTGTTTATATTTTAGAAAAATTTTGGAATTAGAAAAATGTGGAAAACAATGATTATTGTTTTTTTCCAAAAATTTCCAACTTCTTTGAATTTTAGAAAACGGAAAATTTTTCATTTTCCGTGAAAATTTAGAAAATAACGAACTAAACGCGTTTTCAAAATTCTCATTTTTCTTGGAAATTTTTTCCGGAAAACGGCCCATTTTTCCGCAACTAAACGCACCCTTAATATTTTTCGATAGTTACTCAGTTGGGCTAAATCAACTCTTGGGCCGACAAAAGCCCACTTTTTGGCATGTATCACTTCGCGTGTGCGTTCCTCGCAGACGTTTGCTTCTTTTTTTCGTTCCTCCGCCAAATCCCAATTGCTTCTTTATAAACATTTGCTTGTTAGTGCTTCTTCTTCGTTCCTCCATCATAGACGTTTGCCGGTTACTAGTTCTTTCTAGTTCCTCCTCCATGGATGTTTGGTTGTTGGTAATGGTAGGTGGGGTACTGGGGTTTGTTTTATATGGAATCCAAAGATATATTTTTTGTAGCAAGATAAAGCAAATATATAATTTTGGATGCGAGAAATCGTTTTACTTTTGTCGTCTTACTCTTTACCGTTCTTGTTTTTGTTCTTCATCATCAATAATTTATAGCTTTGTTTAGCGGAGATGACGTACATATGTATTTTTTATGGAAATGAGCTTAATATATGAAAAGCAAATCGTGAAGCATCAGTAGGGGTGACAATCGTGAGCCTACATTATCGAATTTGTTTGTCATATGCTTACACGTTAAAAAAAAGGTCAATGGTAAATATAAGACTTCAAAAAATGATCATTTTTGTAATAATTCAATAATTAAATATGTTGTAATTACGAGAGTTCGTTTAAATTTTCGTAAAGCACTCTTGCTAGGCCGACGTGACATTGAGAAAAAAGCTATAGAAAATTTTAATGCAGGGTGAGGATATGATATCAGTGCATTATTTGTTATGTAGAAGACATTTATATTATTTGTTATGTAAATAGAAGATAAGCTCAGGCCCAGTGTTGTATAAGAAATAGCCCATCGAATTAGGGTCGAATCGGGTGCCATTGGTCCATCTGAAAGTCTGAACTCTGACCCTACCTTTCTTTAAGGCGGGAACAAGCAGGAGTAAAGACAAGGGGACGAGCTCTTGTGCCTGCGTAGAAGTCATTGACATGGAATCGGAAGCTCAAATTCCGGAATGGGCATCAACACCTTGCATGATGGGCATCGACGAAGCTGGTCGCGGCCCTGTTTTAGGTTTTCTTTCTCATTCCGACAACGTCATTCAGTGTGCTTCAGACTTTTCATTGCTAATTTCAGTTTTCCTGTGTTAATTATCTATTCCAGGACCGATGGTTTATGGATGCCTTTATTGTCCGGTTTCATACAAGGAAACACTTTCCACTTTGGAATTTGCAGGTTCATACTCGTATTTTATCACCATTGTCCTCTAAATTATTTACCCTAATATCGTTGTTGTATTGATTGAACTGTTATGAACTTATGATTGTTAAATGGTGTATCGAAAGTGTATACTAATGCCTGTGGGCTGTGTCGGACCTATTTCCTCTTTGATTCGTTCTTTTAACCTAGGGGGTGTTTGGATAAATAGTTTTTAGCTTATTAGCTTATTGCTTATTTGCTTATTGTGGCGAGAATAAACATTTTTCTAAAATGTGTTTGGATTAGCTTATTGCGGTGGGAATAAGTAATAAGCAATAAGCATTTACGTGTTTGGCAAAATAAAACAGCTCATATGAGTAAAATGACCAATAAGCAATAAGTAATAAGCATTTCCCCCCCCCCCCCCTTGCTTATTAAAATCAGCTTATTTTGCTTATTCCTACCGCAATAAGCAAGACTCCTATCCAAACACTTAAATTTGCTTATTGCGGTGGGATTAAGCAATAAGCAATAAGCAACCTATTTTTTCCCTATCCAAACACCCCCCTAAAAAACCATCCAAGTTTATGAATGGTTTTACTACCTTTTTCACAGAATAAGATTGTTATTAAACCGTTCTCTCTCCTCTCAATACATTTTGGTAGATGAATTATTTCACTGATTCCTAATTTCCTTTGTACATCTACTATGTTACTTAAAGATTATACAGCACATAAAATGATTAAAGGCTTCTTTTCTTCCATAAGTTGTGTGATTGTGTCATACACCCTCTCTTTTCTTTTAATTTTCACCTTCAGAAGAGCCTCTTCTTTGTTTTATGCAGATTCAAAAACTTTGAAAGAAGAGAAAAGAGAGGAGCTGTTTGAAAGTTTGAAGACTGATAAAACAATTGGTTGGGCTGTTGATGTCATAGATCCTAAAGAGCTTTCGGCTAAAATGTTGCAAAAGTCAGTATGCAACTTCCTGCAATAAACAATCTTGTACCCATTAAATAACTGTTCTAATCGAGCCTGATTGCTTCTTTTAACAGAAATAAGATCAACCTCAACGAGATATCACATGAGTCTGCCATGGGCCTTGTTAAGAGGGTGCTGGACATGGGTTATCTTCTAACTGAGGTATACACTAATACACCTGTATTACCTGAATTTAACTGTCAGTAAATTCCATGAAAACTAATGAATGTAATTACAGGTTTATGTTGATACAGTAGGAGATCCTGAAAAGTATACAGTTAAGCTCTCTGCAAGATTCCCATCTGTTAGATTTGTGGTTGCAAAGAAAGCTGATAGTCTGTATCCAGTTGTTAGTGGAGCAAGTATAGTTGCCAAGGTGAATGAATTTCAGATTGACCAATCATCTTATATCTTCTTGGGCAATTCTCACTGTTTTTACGATATTACCCTTTTGATGATA